CATGAGCACGTTCATGTTGTGTTTGCCCGCGACCTCGACGTACATCTTCCGGATCTTGGTCTCTTTACCCGCGTACAGAGACTGCATGACCCGGATTTTGAGGAATTCTTCGCTGGCGTGACTCTTGACGTCGACGAGCGAAAAATCCAGCTGCGTGACGCTCTGAAGCGACCTAAGCAGACGGTCCAGAAGTATGCTCGCCTTCAGAGGGCAGGCGACGCACGACAGAGTTTGCAGGTTCGGCAGCTCGGACGCGAGTGACAGGAGGAATGCCGGTATGGCGACAATGCAGTTTGATATGTTCAGCGATTGCAGGTTGTGTCGCACTTCGAGTATCTTGTGACCGAGCGTTGCCTCGCTCGCGTTCGGGGGCAACTCGTACGACGACATGGCGAGCGTGCTCGGGGTGATGCACCAAGCTCGATCGACGGCAGAACTGTGCTCGGGACGACGGTGCTCCTGGCAGGTTGCTCTACGTGTGAGGGCCACGTTGTCTGACACACATATCGCTTGGGCTGTGATCCTATGTCGCCAGTAAACAACCGGTGAGGGGGGCGTTTAAACACGTTAGAAAAGCCTATTCACTTTTGATAACGTTCGCTGGTGCCTTTTTTGTCAGTGCTATCATGGACCAGAGAAATCTGAATGCGAATCATCGTGCTACGTATTGCTGGTGACGCAACAAGACAGTTGCATTCGAACTTGTATATTTTGATGACTTACGTTTGACAAAAGCATTGCTCACTGCGTTTGTTGTTTATCAACAAGAACTCTGTTATGAATTATCTATCGGTAACTATTCACGAGTACAACATCAATGTTAGTATATCTTTGCAGTTTCCTTCCACCACGAAGCAGGTGTATTTCTATTCCTCAAGATAGTTGATTAGATTTAAGGAGTTACGGAGTGACCAGATCCTGTTGCGAGCTCTTAATATCACGTGCTACGTAGCGCCAACAGGGAAATAACGGGTGTCCTACACTCGCCGCAATGACAACGGGCAATGCTCACTGGCGCCACCGTGTTTAAAGTGGACATACATGCCCCCCTAAAGTGGACAGGGGGGGGGGGAGGGGGATAGCCCCCAAGGTATAGTCAAGTTGGTAGAGCATCGGACACGTGATTAGAATGTCGAAGGTATGGTCCCCGCCCCCAGTAAGTTCCACTTATCTTTCTTCACAATTAAATTACAAGTACTTCTAATAACATCTCATATACGCCCTTATGCGGTGGTATAGTGGCGCCCCGCCGTGATGGTCTAGTGGCTAAGGTACTCGGCTGCTGACCCGCAGGTCGCGGGTTCAAATCCCGGCTGCAGCGGCTGCATTTCCGATGGAGGCAGAAATGTTGTAGGCCCGTGTGCTCAGATTTGGGCGCACGCAAAGAACCCCGGGTGGTCGAAATTTCCGGAGCCCTCCACTACGGTGTCTCTCATAATGATATGGTGGCTTTGGGACGTTTAAACCCACATATCAATCGATCACCTCATACACATTTCTTGGCATAATTGTTTGTCAGTTCTTATCAAGATCCTTTCACGTAACTTTCCTTGGTGACTGTTCTTTTTTACGTTCGCGTTTAAGAATCTGTAAGAGTACATGCGCTTAAGGTAGTGTAGCGGATTGAGCATGCGCTCAAGATACTACCACGGCCCTTTGGAAATGCCAATACGTCAGAGTAACTGAAATAGCGCCGAACGGACGAAGGTAGAAATGTTGTTTTGGGGCTAAGTATCGGCTCCCCAGTTGACCTGTAATTATGTGCTGTATATTCAGTGTCATTTCCATTAGGTACTGGCTTACAACCATGCAATAAATAGCACTCATAGCATTCTCAAATGCACAAAAAAGGCATGAGCAGTTTGGTTCTATTTTTAGAAAGCCAATTGAATGATCGTGACTTTGTGCGAAGGCGCCTTTTTCGCAAGCTTAAGCAACCCCGAATTATCTTTAATGTTCACTTACTTCGATGAAGTTTTCAATATAGACCAGAATATTTTTTGCCCTTGACCCCACGTTCAAAGCAAGTTCACATAATCTTGACTCAAGTTATCACCTGTTGGTGTGACCAGGGGAGGTAGTTTCGGTATGATTACGTCACTTGTGTGATGAAGGCTTGGGATGGTGAGATAAGGCTTTAGAGCTTTTTAAATGATGGCCAGTTTGAAAAGTAAGAAAAAAATAGGGGGCGTAGGAAAAAATATATTTGGGGGGTGGGATACCTCTTGAATCTCGGGTAGAGTGGGGGCTGCTATCCCCTTGAAATGGCTACTTTTGGCTCCGTATGCGATGGCGAAAGAAATTTCGGGGTTTGGGACACGGCTCCGGTGCACCCCTTCCTGACTATGCTACTTGGTTTGAAAAAATCTATGTGCTACCCACCATTCTGATGCTAGCAACTTTGTATACACCAGCGCCGAATCACCCTCTGGTATGATAATGTGAAACTGGAGGTAAAGACAGACCGGATGCTTTTGAGGTCACCCTTTCGACCTGGCATGCTGCCGTCAACCAAAGAGGACTGCGCCTTGCATGCGACAGAAAATTTTTGTGTATATATTGCCAGTAGTACTGTGACAATATTTCCCAGACAGTGGAATCCAAGTCAATCAGTTTTTCCTCTGACAGAAAAATGAAACCGCCAGCCTAAGTGAAAAGAAGATAAAAGTAAGCCCCATAACTGTCTCTTTAGGGGAGGACACCTCAACAGTAGCTCACGAGGGATGGGGGTAAGGAGAGATTAAAAGGACAGGACTAAGAGATATAGAGATAGAGAAAGTGGAAGGAGAGAGCAGGCGCAAGAAAAGCCACATACAGAAGTAAGGAGAAGATATGAAAGATGGACACGGTCGCAGGAGTCCGAGGACGGCGCACCACTCGGCGAGAGCTCTTGTCGGCGTCGGGAGTTGGCGTAGGGCAAGCCAGTCGGCCAGAGCTGCGCTGTCGTCGGAGATCGCAGGGGCACAACCGGTCGGCACGAAATCCAGTCAGCGAGTCCGAAATATGAAAAGAATTTTGTGTGCCTTATCGACTTATGTGATCGAATGGCATCACTGATACAATTTTTTCGAGGCGACGCTGGGCCAGAAAAGTTTAAGCGTGCAAACGCGAGGAACCCTGACTGGATGGCAGGTGCCACTTTTTGTGTTGTTAAAGCGGAACAACATGTATCTCAACAAAACGCGAAGATGAATAATCGCTTTCGTCCACACCACAGTGGCTCAACCAGTACAAAAAAGTACGTCCAAGTAAACAAGCCAATTTCACTCACAAGCCTTCAAGAGAGTAACTTGTTCGGTCCAACGTCACACGGCTTTAGGTTAGTTGAAGAAAGACAGCGCAAAGAAACAAAATTGACGGGGACGTAGGAACACAATACACTATAGGAGCGCTGAACTTACAACTGACATCTTTAACGCTCAAACCACTCGTCTTTACAGCACACCAAATCACGCACACCATTGCAATAAAATCAATGAAAATCATCAGGCAATCAAAAGTACATTGTCACTGAAAGCAATCACGGGTTCAAGAATTACACCATGCACATGCTTCTTCAACCCTCAGATAAGATGAACACAAGTGAAAAAATAAATAAGCCATCTCTTGACAAGAATAAAGAAGCAACAGAAAAAAAAAAACAAGAAGCAATCACCAATCTACTATTTTTGAGGCATGCGTTCAGTGCAATAATACAAATGTTTGTGATTGAACCGATAAAAAACTAAAAGATAGAGGAAGACCAAGAATAAACAAAAAATGAAATGGCCCATTCCCCGCAGTGGATGTGAGCCATGTTTTTTAGGCCATCATCATCATCATAATCATCATCATCATGTATTGAAACAATTTATACAAACCCTTCGAGATATTGAATCTCACCATCAGCTAGCGAGAGGGATGGCTTGCATATGAAACTGTCCTTTGCTTCCCTGATGAAAAATGCTTCCACGATTTCACGTTTCGTTTTGCCATTGGCCGTCTTGAAAAATTGATTTATATATGGGGTTTAACGTCTTCAACCACCATACTTTTGAAAAAAATTGTGTGTCCTAAAAAATGGGGGCAGATCTGCACTTTTTTCAATTAAAGGTTCTCGCTTTGTTACCCACATTCAAATTGTGTTCTATCGCTCCCTAATTGTAAGAACTTCCGGTCAGCCCGGGTATACTGGCGTTTACAAGTAACAGGTAGTTTCTAAACCACATTGTAAACGCATCGATGTGGAGCACGTTCTGTGCTTCGTAGTACATTAGTCGTCGTGAATGTATTTGTCAATTCATCGCACATAATCGAATCTTTATTTGCCATCCTTTATCAGGCCGTGGCTTTTCTTGCGATGCTAGGTTGATGTAACAGTTTCTCAACATGCTCGATACTGAATGTGAAAATTGTGGCGGTTAAGTCAAGTAAACATCTGAATCTTAATGACCAAGGAGGCGTTTTCAGCTCTAGTGACTAAAGTATTCGGCTGCTGACCCGCAGTTCGCGAAATCGAATCCCGGCTGTGGCGGCTGCATTTTCGATGGAAGCGAAAATGCTGTAGGCCCGTGTGCTGGAATTTGGCTACACGTGAAGAACCCCAGGTGGTCGAAATTCTCGCAGCCCTCCACTACGGCGTCTCTCATAACCATATGGTGGTTTCGGGACGTTAAACCCCACATATCAATTAGCCGTTTTCAGCAGCGCAAAACAAGGGATACGTTGAACTTCACGCATGCAAATATTGTTCCTCGGTTATAGTTAAGTAGAAAAGTCGATTGATGTATTTCTTTCTGGATTTAGTCGTATTATTTACCTGTCATCTTGGACACGATGGAAAGAATAGTGATAACAAGCGTGCTTTGACAATGACCATCATTGTTTCAATTTTATTCTGGCGGGCCTGATACTGCATGTCAATGGGGAGTGGTTACCTTCCTGCGACAATGCCCCGGGAAAGTTTTCACTCTGCTCGCAACACAGCAATGTAGAACGCACTGGTACAGGCAGTCTACAGACTATTTTTGCACCACCTTGTTCGCCACTTTACGTAGCCCATGCGGAAGTGGCAGTTTGTTGTCCCGGAAAAACCGCATCAGCTCCCTGGCCCGCACATGGTCATCGGGTGCTAGGAACGTGTACGTCCTGCCCCTCCCATCAAGCCGAATCGCGTGACCATAGCGGCGTCGGTAGTCGCTCGAGTGTACCGGGTGGTCATAACTGACGACGAAGCGGACGCGGTCCAGCTGTATAGGCTTCGTCGCCATGTCGGTTGCTACCAGGACAAACGCCTTGCCAGAGCACAGGGCGTTGAATGCCTCTTGGTGTTCTTGATCCGTCTTTTTCGCGTGAATACCGACAGCCGGCCAGCCCTGAAGGCACAAGATCGACGCAAGGTGTTCTACCGTTTGCTGCCTCTCGACAAATACGATGGCCTGGTCAGTGTCGTCTCTGAGGATGTCCTTTAACAGGTTGACGAGTTTGCCCACCTTCTTAGCCTTCTCGCATATGAGGACAACACGATCTACACGCTTATTCTGCTGCTCCTGCGTCGCTGTGCCGACGCTGATGTTGACGGGATCATTAGTGAACTTCTGCGCTAGTTCCCACGACTCCTTCGTTGCGCACGTCAGTTTCACGAGCGTCTGTCGGTCCGGTCGTACGTTGTCCGCAATCGCACGAAGATTCTTGCTGAAGCCCATTTCCAGCATGCGGTCCACATCAGCCATAGTTAAGAGTGTGCAGCGGCCCAGATTCACCTTGCCTTCCTCCATGAATGCTGTGAGGCGACCTGGAGTCGCGACGCAAATATCAGCACCTTTCTTCAGCTGCTTAATCTGCGGAGGCTTGGCGTCACCGGACAAAATATACATCGTTCGAATCCCCGACTCCTCGATAAACTGTTGAACAGCGGTTCGAACCTGTAGAGCCGCTTCTCGCGTCAGTGTTAGAATTACAACAGTAGGTTTACCATCAGCCAGTACTGACGACTGATGTTTTGCATGGACGAGGGCTGGAACGAGGTAGGCCAGTGACTTCCATTTGGAGGCTGTGTGATCAATGGCCACCACGTCTCTGCCACTGAGTGCCACAAGCCAGCACTGAGCCTGCAATGCGGTCAGCGACGAGTCAGAGTTGAGTTTCTCGATTGCCTTTGTCAAGGATTCCGAGAGGCCGGCTTCGTTTACGTGCAGGATGGGCTTGGGCACGTCGCGTCCTGTGACGATTATCTCGTTAGCGTTGCGGTACGCCTCCACTTCTTCGGAGGACCTCTGGGCAGTCCGGGTATGTTCAGTGTAAAAACCCCTCTGGTACGATGGCAGGGGAACGTTGCTCCAGTCCGGAGGGCGTAAGTTGCGTGCCGCCCGGCGGTTCCGCGCGCTGGGATATGGCTCGTATCTTACGGGGAACATTGGCAAGTTGACTTTGTTGCGGAGCTGTCGATTCCTGCTGCTACGTGTTTTGCCGCGCTGAACGTTTGCTTCCGGGGTCCCTTCGTTTGGTCCATTGCTCGGTACCACAACGTATCTGCGGAGCATCGTAGACCGCGGCTCGAGAACGATCTCTTGGTGCGTTACCACATCCAGGCCTGCGCTTCGCGTATTACTCTTTCCCGGGATTCTGGGCTCGCTCGTCGGACTTGCCCAAAAATATCCCCTTATTTCCAAGAGACTGTCCTCGAGGGCATCCCTTCTTCGTCGTCCAGCCTTCACACCGCCAAGGGATGGTTTTTATCCACTACAGCAGGGCTCTCAAACACGTGGCCCCCATGCCTCCTTATTGGGGCTCGCGGGCTGCAAATGTCTTCAGGCCACATTTTTAAAATTTTTCTCAAGTAGTAGTTTCGTGAGCTATGCAAGCTTGACTAGTCTAATGCATTGTTCTCGTGCGACACGCCATGTCGTAACGATGTGTGGAAGCATAAAGATGAAACAAGGACAGCAGCCCACAGTGCACGATGAGACTTTAGTCATTTAGGGGATTGATATCGCCATGTAGTTGAAATCCTGGCAAAGAATTTCGTGCAGAAATGAGCCGCATATGACACCAGGGAAAGTTTATTTTTCCTTTCAAATGAAAACGTTTGTTGACAATTTGCGCCAATTTCCATTCCCCACACATCCCGCTATTACTTTCTTTAATGTCTTGGCCCTAGTGCGATGGTTCACACATGCAGCATTTATTTTAGACTTAAGTTGCATTGAATATGTTGAGATTCACAGTCCTTGAAGATTTTGCCGCTTGGTTCTTGGTCCTACCATTTTTGTAGGTGAGCGCCTTCTGTGACAGATGGACACTACCACCCCTACCTCAAACACCACCGCCATCATCTTCATCACCATCAGTTGCAAACAAGCCTGTGGCTCGCTCGCTCGTGCGAGTTTCAGACCCCTACACTACAGTGTATTGTAAAATGATATTGAATTGAATCTGATATTGACAGTGTATTGTAAACTATATTGAATCGCCAATCTACTACATTGAAGTTTTGAATTCAAGGAAAACCCTTCGAAACATAGTTAGTGCCGCATACGATGCCCACACGGAACCAATTTCCAAGGCTCTGAAATTATTTCAGTAAAGAAGCTATATCGCACAATTTTAAACAAACGTTACAAGTTGGCTACGAAAAACAACGACACATTTTCAACAGAATTGTCAGCGCTCTCACGCTAAATTTGTGCGGAATTTGCGAGTTCGTGAAGTCTGGGGATTACCCAGAACGCGAACCAATTACGGAACTCGGATGTTGAAGTACCGGTTACCGAGAATACTCGATCAATAATTCTGAGCAACATACGCAACACCTTAATGTACCTAATTGGCATCTGTATGATAATAAAAGTACCTGTGAAGTCTCCCCCCTTTTGTTTTTACTGTGTAGATTTTTTTATTGTGTACATTTTTCAGTTTTATTATCTCATTTATGTTGTTCCAGTGAAGAGAACTGCCATGTGCGTTTTATTAGCTAATTTTGTTTTGTGTGGCTATATTAACTTAATAATGTTGTTCCAGTGAAAAGAAGTGCCATGTGGGTTTTATTAGCTCATTTATGTTTTTTGCGTACATTTTTTTCATTTTATTAGCTCATTTATGTTGTTCCAGCGAAGAGAACTGTTGTGTGACCGTTTTTTGCCTGACTTTATACTCTGTATAATAAACTTGCCAAGCCCGGGGTTATGGACCCTGTCAAGCCCGATCTATGGATTTTGTCTGTACCCATCAAGCCTAATTGATTGTCTTTGAAGCTGCAAATAAACCCTGGTTGATTGATTGATTGAATGAATTTAGAATCAGTTTGCATTCTTTGGAGACATTTCGTTCCATGACATTAGCAAGGGTGCTTGTGCTTTATTTCGGGAATGCTTCTAATAGAGGGTGAAAAAATTTCTTCTTCGCAACGTTGCATTAAGTATATCTCCCGGTTGTAGCATTGAGGTCCTGACGCCTTGCAAGCTCTCACTGTGCTGATTCGCCGCCATCGGACTTCTTTGACTGGCTCCCAAGTTTCCTACCCCCTATCTTTTTCTGTCGCTTGCCTGTCGCATTTATTTATCTATATATTTCCACTATTGTTTTTATACCCACTTCCTCCCTTCCTTACTAGGCACTGCGCCGTGTCGCCCAAGAGGCAGATAGAAATTGGGTGCCTTTCTCCTCTTCTCAAGAACCACTCACTCATTAGAGCTCATGGACAAGTTGAAGAGCTTGGCATAGCTAACTGTACAATGGTGACTTGGTATACAGCACAAGGCGATGCTGCAAATCGTGGTACTTTCCTCGTGTCGTCGTTCGCGGTTGTCGCCTTGCCTTCTAATGGTGTACCAGCAAGGAAAAAAAAGACGCAAAGTGATGATGACAGAACAGCGAAGCTTCCTTTCTAAAGACGATAGTCTTTCTGGCAATGCTCCAACATAAAAACTTTGGGACGTGTGAGTATTTCTGTCAGTCTGGCTGTCACTCGAACGATTGAGCCACCCGGCCAATTAGTTTGAGCACTTCCTTAACAGCCAAGCCATCTTGATCTGGTGGCGGCGTTGATACTTGCGAACATTGTCGATCACAAAGCAAATATTACGCATCTCTGAGGCGCAACATCAAGACAAAAGTATTAAATGCTGTGTTTCTTCATAGAAAACGCATAAATATGTCGTTTTAAAGACGCTACTGTTTCGTACGCTACGCTGACAATGCGATGCTATGTACATAAAATGGGATGTTTCCCACGCATCACTAGGAAGGTACGGTGCTGCCACCTACGAGTGCACATGCGTTTAACACAAGCTTCTACTTCTCGACTTTAATTCCAGATGGCGTCCATATCTCACGCGGCGCCTCCAGACAGGACACTATTGTTTTTCGAGGACATTTGCAGCGAATGATGAAGATACGCGGCCAAATTTTTTTGTTGTTTTACTCGGAGTCATCGAAGCAGCACTACGGCGAAAGCCACCGCTGCCCACGACCAGATGTCACCGGTGACCAAGCGAGGCGCCATGTTGCACGCTTCCGTGAAGCATTGGCACACCCGGAGGTACATTCCCGGCGGGTAGTAGCTGCGGCAGGGCTCCTCGTGTGTGTCCTTGAGGTAGGCGCACGAGCGAGACACCCGGTTCGGCATTTCGGGCTTGTACACTGGGGCAAAACGCGTGAAGAATTGACTGTCCATTGCTATAAAAACGAAACCAAATTTCCTATATGCAGGTTATAACTACGTGGCTTTGCCCGCATAACGCCACGAGGACTGTTACAGCAGTCCTTTCGATAATACACTGAAGTGTTTTTAAGCGTACATAAGAATAGACACTCGACTGAGTTCGTAAGGGTAGATGATCGTAATTATCATAAACAGCCCAAGGAGAATGAGACAATACGAGTGCTCTTCAGCAGAGACTGCCAGGAATCTTGGCCAGGAATGTTGGTCAAGATTCCTGGCCAAGATTCAGACTCTTGAACTGTAGTGAAGGCTACTGTTCTCGTGCGAAAAGAACGTGCAGCAAGGAATGTGCCATTTTCGCGTCAGAAGCAGCTAGAAATCGCTTGTATTTTATTCTCCGATCCCACCTGATGATGCAGCAAAGGGTCCCGAGCTGGCGAGAAATCTCAAATCTCGATACTGAATGGCTTGAATGCCGACGGAACTTGTGGGTAAGTGCTTCATATTTTGCAATTCAACTGTGTACGTTCTACCCAGGTTGTGGCGACAAGACAAAAGAAAAAGCGCACGGATGCTAGCGCAACTCTACTGAAGCTGTGCGAGTAAAAAAAAAAAGGTGACTGGAAATTCGCAAAGCAGCCGAGTTGGTAATGTGATTCTAAATTAAAAAAAAAAACTGTTGCAGCGCCTCTTTAAGGAACAGTTCAGTTACCTGTTCATGTAGCGAAAACACGTTAGCTATAGGGAATGACAATAACATATTAGCTAACAAGCAAGACAATACGCTTCGGTGATCAATAAATACTGAAACATTCATACATCAGTCACTAGAAGAAGCTATAAGTGTTTTATAGGTCGGCAATTCGTTTTCCGCTTTTGATACCACATTTGAACGTATTGCGTATATAACACTTATGCTACAGAAGCCATTACGTCTCATGCAGCATAATCCAAGAGCGTGTAGCAAAGTAAAATGAATTTATGGCTTTACACCATCCAAGACCACGAATGGTGCGACTATGTGGCACGACACAGTGAACTGTAGCTGGTTTAACAAACTGGCGTTCTATATAGGGTGCCGTTCCGTCTACGCATGCAAAAGTGGATAAATGCAGAGAAGAAGAAGAAAAAAAAACTCATAGGGTCTCATGTGCTTTCACGTAAGACGAGTCGAAGACGAAAGCCATCATCTTGTTCATCTCCGTCGTCGTATTGATCCCTCCGAAAGCTTCTGCACCTAACGTGCATGGTTTTGCACATCATCCGTGATAGATCTACCTTTGACCAAGCTACAATGTCGTGTGATGACGTTATTTTGTAACGGGACGTGATAACGGCATAACGGCGTCACATATTTTGGCGATTTATGACGTAACATCAATAGTGACGTCATCACGACATAATTTCTCGCTTCACTTGTGCTTTGCCCGACGCCGCGGGACGCTGACGGTAACTTTTCAGTTCGATAAATCATCTAAGGCTATTTTGGCTCAAAAGAAAAAAAAAACAAATTTCTGGGCATAGTGGGGTTCAAACCCAGGGGCCCATGGTCCGAAGAAGAGCGTCGTATCCAGAGGAACAAAGATAAACACGACAGCATAAAATTTCGGGTGACATGCAGTTAGACTCAAATATCAATTCCTCTAAAAATGTTGGCCGTATAAATTATATGCATTCAACCTATGATAAAAAAAAGTGAATATACGGGAAGGGTTTGAGAAGGTACGAGGGGATAAATGGCAAAATTTATTAAAATCTTTCACTCAGTGAGTGAATGCGTGTTTTTGCAGCACTGTGAAGGGTTATAAGCAAGGTAGCTTTTTGTTACTAACTCGAGTTAGTAACTAGGCGGTTTGGGTAGTAACAACACGCCTGTTGCTT